AGTCACTGGTCAGTAGGAGTAGTAAAGAAACAGAGTATTGAAGCTTGGATATTGTTACTTGTGAGTTGATATGGTTGCAACAGTTGCTCTGTGATCTTCATGTTGATGTCTCTTCCATTGCTAAGTTTCTTTGTGATAACAAATCAGCTATCCACATAGCAATGAATCATGTTTTCAATGAACGGACGAAGCACATCAACATTCATTGTCATACGGTCTGAGATTAAATAAAAGGTAGGGTGTTTACAAACACTTCATGTTTCTACAGGTAATCAATTCTCATACATATTAAAGAAGGCTCTTCATCATGCCCCCCCCCATTCACTCTTACGACGTTTTTCATGATCAAGTATTTTATCTTCAACCAAACACATAACCTAAAGACTTGAGGGAGAATCTTAGGATATGTGGTTTAATGTTGGTTATTGTGTAATTGGTTCATTGTAAATATTGGCTAACTATATAAGTGACGTTAGCCTAATTTGGTTAGTAAATCGTAAAGTGAATAACAAAATTTTTCGTTTATCATCATCTCTAAATCTCAGCTGAATCACTTTGAATCTATACTTGAATCGAGTATTAATAGTGGGTTTGCTTCACTCCTCGTTTCTTGATGAAGCTCTTGTTTCTCTTTGGCGTCCAAGTCTTTGTTTAGATCATTTGAATAGTTATAGTTCCGGCCGGTATATTGTATAGCCGATCTCACAAATTGATTTGATCAAATGAAATGATGGTAAGAATCAGGTCTTCTTCCTCCATAGTGCTTAGCCAAAAAAATGAATCTGATAAATATATGCGGTTTAGGCCCATTCAATATAAACTTGATGAAGATAATGGGCTTCGTTTGTAGACTTATTGTTGCACATTTCTTTGTTGATTGGTTTATCTATGTAGTCTAATGGTTACTTTCACTTCTCATTCTCCTAATAACGAGATTTCAAAGCTCTTACATATCTTTTGTGGAAGCACTTTAGCATACTGGTTAAGGTGTAAAAACTTATACATTCAGGTTTGAGGTTCGAATCTCAGATTATGCAACTTTTTTGTAGATTATAGGATGTAAGCTTTATGGGAGTTCTAGAGTATTGTAGATAGAATCGTTCATTGTGATCATCTAATGTGGAGAGAGAGAGCTTGTCTATTGGGGATGTCGTACATGCAAAAACTGTTTGTCGATTCAAGTGTTTCGAGAATAACTTTATCACAGAACCATTATCCGTGAACATGTTCATCAATATCGCATATATTGCAGGTAGTTGATCATCATCAAAAAATAATAAAAGGTTAATATAATCATAAGCTAGGCTATCCACCTAGGATTAAAAAATCAACCACTAAAATTGGAGCATTTTGCCATGTCATCCGACTGTTTAAGAAATTTCGTCTAGGCTATCGTTTGAGACTCTTTGACTTGCAGATAATTTTGGACAATCTTAGCCTATATTTAATCTAACCCTAATTAGATTATCCCTCTGTCGTCTTCTCCTAGCCTTTCAACTTCCTAATCTTTGTTTCTTCTTCTCTCCAGTTTTGTTTCTTTGATCTGTCAAACCACCTCTCCACTATCTGCTTCAATCCAATCTGTGTTTAATATCATCTCCTTCATATATTTTGACCAATGTTCGACTTTTTCTATGATTCCTTTGTCGTAGTGTTGATTGATTTAAGAGTTTTGGGTTGAGAGCTTCCTCATCTATACGCGAAGAGACTAACGACGCTGGTTATCTCAGTTAGTGATGGTAAGAATTTTTTTTGAATTTTTGTGAAGCTTCTAGGCTTCATGTTCTTGCTTGCTTCATTCTTTAATCAAAAGATTGACCAATGTGTGTTTCTTCTCTTCATGTGATTGATATTTAGGTTTGTTTACGGCTCTTCCTAAAGATTATTTTAGAGTTGTGAACTGCTTTTCAAAGATTTAGTTGCTACATGTTGAATCAGAACCTCTTTAGTCTCGGTATGATATGCCCATCAATAAGTTTTGAACGTCAACACTCATTTGATTTTACACTGTCTACAGTAAGATTCTAGCAGCTATAATATTTCGATCTTAAATCTTTGTTGTACCAACTTGATGATTTGCATCTGTTGAACAAGATTTTATTTTATTTTTTTGGTTTAGACAAGTTTATAAGATTCTTCAGTACATTTTAATCTTATTCGAAGGAAGTCTATCTCAGTCTAATGCCTATTCTATTTTTTGGTAACGACCAAGTCTGGTTTTTTTTTTTTTTTGCATTTTAATGTGTTACATTTAAAGAACAAAATATTCAAATGTTTCTATTTGTAGTTATGTTTGTGTCTTTGTGGCAGAGATTAGAGCAGAAGTAACCGATGACATGTCGACAAGTTTCTCAGGTCACAGAGATTTGTGTTGTTTAACGAAACTGCTCATGGGAACACCAATTCTGATGCTCATAAGGTCACTGTCTTTCTTCATTTGCAGACTATGGGTATTCTGTATATTTTTTTGTTGTTTTAAGCTTTGAATTTCTGTGTATTAGAAGCAAGTAAAAAATATTATTTCCCTTACAACAGGTTCCGGGTGATACTTTCTGTGTCAGACGACACTGACACGGCGTCTTTCCTTTGTTTTGATATGGAGGTAGCTAAACTCACTTGCATTGAAGCTTCTGAGGTTACATAGGTTCTGGTATGACCTATAATAAACCTCTAAATATCAGTGTCTATTATTACTTGTGCAAAGTGATTCATATAATGGTCTTGACCGGTTTATAGAGGATAGGTGTTAATGCTTAGGTTGATATTGACCTGCCTCAGTCACTCGCTGATATTTTTGGGATACATATACCTTCCAGCTCCGATGAAAAGACTTCAATTTTACTGCAAACCCTCAAACCTTTACCATTTCCCGCATATTTCCTGCACCTATGCCAACCTTTGCTGTTAGTGTTAGTTACTTCTCCTAATGAATGTGCTGGTTATAAAAATAAATAGTCACAGTGTTTGTTATGTTGATAACAGGAACATGTACAGGTCCTTGAAGCAGCGCTTCCTGAAGCTGTGGCACCAGGATCAGATGCCAGACTTGCTAACAATGAATTAAAATTTTGAATTAAAATTTTTAATTATATTTTAATATAATTAAAATTTTAGTCAAGTAATTTTTGAAAATATATCTTGAAAATATTCTAAAAGATATTAAAAAGACTTTGTTAGAATTTTCTTAAAAATATATATTTGTATTTCAAATAAAAATTAAAGATATGAAAAGATATTATAATGATGTTATGTAAGATTTTATAAGTTTTTTGAAGATGGTCTAAACTAAAAATCACACATGAAATGAGTCATGACTTCTGTTTTAATATAATAGATGTTACAAGAAGTCTAGAAAATCGATAACTTAAACTCACCATCTACAAGACATAGCTACATCACCTTATGCTGTTTTCTACTTTGAACTCACAAAAATAACCAAAGAATGAATAACTAACCACTTCACTCTTATGTCTCACACCAAAAACAAGATCTCTAGGAGCAAATCCCCATGGCGCACTCCAAGTCAACATCCTCAGGCCCAACACAAAACAATCTATTATTGATGTTTAGCTACCATCTATCACCGACCATCAAGGTAATTTTAATGACTCAACAACTGAAGGCATGGAATTCATGTAAACATACCATGAAATAGAACACTCCAACCCAAACTTGATTATTCAAGAGACATCCCAATACATGATGAAATTATAAAAAGCGAAGACTATAACATTACTGATGATCTTCAAGTTACTCTTACTATCAAAGACTACAACCAAAACACAACTGCAAAACTTGACGTAGACCTTATCATCACCGATCTTGAGGGAACTAATAGGCTCCAACTACAGATGAAGAAAACAAAACATGCACGGTATGCTTCAGAAATTACAACAATGGAACCTATCTATGCTCTCTTACTTGTGACCATACTTTCCATTTATGCTGCATTGCTCAATGGCTTCGTACAAACATAAGCTGTCCCATATGTAGGGAAAGTCATCTATGACTCAACATTATTATATTTATAAGGGGGTTTCTTATGTTCCAATTTTCAGTTACATTTATATACTGTTTTTGATTTTCGTTTTAATTTTAAAACAAAATATATAAATGTTTTTCCTTATTTCCAAATGTATTCCATTGCCAGAAATAGTTTCTTACCAAAATCCAAATAAGAAGAATATATGAACAAAACTTAATTACACACGTTTAATTCAATTAGTCTCTTCAAAAAAGTTCAAATTCATTTCCTTCTGTATACAGTCCACATGGTACTTAACAATATAAATATATTCACTAAATAAAACATCAACTTTACTTTATGTTGAAATTCTAACTAAATTAACTTTGTTACGTCTATTGGTTTTTTATTCAATTTTTATTGAATTGATTAGTCACAACCACTTATGTCATTCCATTTTAAACTAAGCAACTTTAGAACAAAGTAATAAATACACTACTGACACCAACTATTGTCAAACGGATTGGAAAAAATATCATTCTCTTTTAACATATTTTCATTTTTATATATTTTTGAACATATTTTCTTTACTAAGACTATAAAATGAATTTACAATTCATTTAAGAATAAAACATATGAAACCCGGCGCTACTACCACTAGTATATATAATATAGATATATATTATATAATGATTTAGTATGGTTATCCAATGTGAAAAAAAAGTATTGTTAGTTAATTGTGAAAAGAAGAATACGGAATAGCATCGTTTCTTTCATTGTTTGGGCTCTTTTTGGTACGGTGGAAACGTTTGGGCCTAAAAAAGAAACATCAAATAGTAAAAAGCCATTCCCGGTATGCAGATCCTCAAAGACCAATCTGTACCGTCAATTAGAAGATAATCTAACGGCAATAAACAGTGATCCGCGTCTACTCTTCCTATTGGTTCAATGTTGTTAAGGGGAATCTACATCTGTATAAAAACTAGAGACAAGTTGCTAGAGAAGGAAGCAATACGTTTACTTATAATCGATTTCAATGGTGGGTCGTGGCAAAACTCTCGGATCCGGGGCCGTGAAGAAGGCTACATCAAGAAGCAGCAAAGCCGGTCTCCAATTCCCAGTGGGTCGAATCGCTCGTTTCTTGAAGAAAGGCAAGTACGCCGAACGTGTTGGTGCCGGAGCTCCGGTCTACTTGTCGGCCGTTCTAGAGTACCTCGCCGCCGAGGTAAATCAATCTCATGCTCTCATCTTTCAAGTAGAAAAAAGCCCTAATTGTTGAAATTGAAATTAGGTTTTGGAGTTGGCTGGAAACGCGGCGAGAGACAACAAGAAGACGAGGATTGTCCCGAGGCACATTCAGCTCGCGGTGAGGAACGACGAGGAGTTAAGTAAATTGCTCGGAGATGTGACGATTGCTAATGGAGGAGTGATGCCTAATATTCACAATCTTCTTCTTCCTAAGAAGACTGGTGCTTCATCCAAGCCATCTGGGGACGACGACGATTGATTAATCCATCTTCTTCTTTTTCGCTTTAATTTTCAATGTTCATATCCTTCTCTTTCGAATGGTTCAGACGATTCTTTCAAATTATAGTCTCTTGCTTCACATCATGTTAAATGTTGGTTTCTTCCATCGAATCTGGGAAAAATCCAGAATTGTAAACTCTGAAATCCCACTTGCGTAAAGATGTGATTTTTCGATATTTTGTCATTTCCCATTGGGTAACTTCTATGGAATGTTCGTAAAATCTGAAACGAAACCCAGATTCGTGAATTCTCATGTTTTAAATGGCTTGGCCACTTGGGATTTTGTTTTGATCATGGAAGATATGGCGTAACGATGTGATTTTCCGATTTTTTAAAATGGGGAAGCTAAATGTGAATGACATCACGACATGTGTATAATTGAGCAAGTGTGACATATATCATAAGGGATTGATGATGATTGGTGGGCCAATAGTGTATGACTTCCATGAAAAGAGAGATTGAAATCATATATAATAGAAACCGATTGAAAGAGAAAAGACTCTACCACCAATTTCTCTTCTTTTTCCTGTCTTTTCAGATTTGCAGCCGCCGCGTTTTTGGTTCATTGGTGCTGGTGAGACAATGGAGAATACGAACTGGCTCAGTGATTACCCTTTGATTCATGCTTCTTTATCTCATCAGAGTCCCACTTTCCCTTGGCAGATCGATGCTTCAGCTACTGTCAGGTATTTCTTTTCTTTTTTTTTAATCATGTGCGATTAAGATTTTAAAAGGGTTTCTCGATTCTTGAGTTTAGTTTATGGGCTTTGGACCTTTGGTGTTTAGAGGGTTTTGTACTATCTGGAGAAGGTTCTTATTAAGGTGGACTTTTTCTTTTTAAGATGGTCTTGTTGTGTTAGAAACTGATAAAGCTTTTTGTCTCAATTTTTTTTTCTGTAGTCATTCCTCTGTTTCCTAAAGTAGTAGACGAATCTATAGATATCTCTACTTTTTTTTTTTTTGGGTCAAAGATCTCTCTACTTCTACTTTAGATTATGTTAAAAGTTGTTATGCCGTTTTCTATCAGCCAACTGGTTGTAAATAATCCTTCCTTACATGTTTTCTTTTGATGTGATATCTTTCTCAGTGTTGAAGAAGTTGATGGCTTCCTTTGTGATTCTGATGTGATCAACGAACCTGGCTCAAAGAAGAGGTATGTATTGTTGATTTAACTTATTTATTTTGAATATTTGTAGTGTTCTTTTGGTTATGCTCTTCGTTGCTTCAGGATCAAATGTGCTGGTTCTAGCTCGAAAGCCTGTAGGGAGAAACAAAGACGTGATAAGGTGGCTAAATGACAAGTACTTTCGTGCTTTCTCTCTTCCTTCTCTTCAACTCTTTGTAAGTTCTTAATCTTTTAGTATTATTGTTGCATTAACCATGTAGATTTACGGAGTTGAGTTCCATACTGGAACCTGGTAGATCTCCGAAAACAGACAAGGTTGCTATCATCAATGATGCAATTCGCATGGTGAATCAAGCAAGAGACGAAGCACAAAAGTTAAAAGACTTGAACTCAAGCTTCCAGGAGAAAATCAAGGAGTTGAAGGTACAGAAACTGGAACTTTGAGAGATGTTTAAATTGTGTCCATTAACCCCGATGATGTATTTTTAATACGTAGGATGAGAAAAACGAGCTGCGTGCTGAAAAACAGAAACTGAAGATTGAGAAAGAGAGAATCGAGCAGCAACTTAAAGCGATTAACACACAACCTTCTTGTTTCTTGCCAAATCCGCCACCACTCTCACAAGCTCAATCTCCTGGAAGCAAGCTTGTCCCCTACACAACTTACCCTGGCTTTGCCATGTGGCAGTTCATGCCTCCTGCTGCAGTTGATACCTCACAGGATCACGTGCTTCGTCTTCCGGTTGCTTAATCTACCTCTCTCTACTATTGACGGTTCGCTTTTTTCGGATGTAGACAATCCAATGCAAACTTGTACTGTGATTTATGCGACTAATTTGCTTGTAAAATGGAAACAAGCATATGCACTAATTGTGCAAATGTTGTAAACTTTTGAAATTATGGTTCTACAGATTGTGGATTTTATCATCTTAGATGATGAGGAATATGTAAATGAGTAGCAAGTTACTGGAACTTGAGATGAACAAGTAAAGTCCGAAAAGGACTTTGAATCTTCGGCTCAATGTTGCTCCTCTATATATTTTAACCTCTCCAAAACACCCTTCTGGATCACTCATATTCACCGTTTTGCCGTCATCGCTTTCTTTTCTCCTTAAACTCTTTCTTTTCCTCCTCCTCCTTGGTGTTGCAGACTACGGATTGTGGAACAAGACCATATTCATATTTGATATGATGCTCTTTTGTTTCTGGAATTTATAAACTAAGATAACACATGCTTTTTGCTCAGGGTGAGTGTATGTAATTAAAATATAAGACTTTTAGTATTCAAAAATTTAAAATTTACATTGATTATTTTTATATGTATTTGGAATTTTTATATAATTATTTATACGTAGGATTAATAACAATTGTAATAAAAACTGCAGATCAAAACTTATAATTTAATGGATCCGATTCATATATTTTTTCATTTTTCAGTGTTCGAGAGATGGAAAATAAACGGAATGTCACATGGCTTAATTGGTAGAACATTATTAAGTTCCGTAATGCTTTTTTAAGAAGCAGTTGGTAGAATATTTGCATTTAGAATATATAAAATTTCATAACTAATTTAATATAATTTATTTATTTGTCTAATAATTTCAGAAAATTATACTTTTAAAAAAATAATTTTTAAATAAAAAATAATTTTTAAAAAAATTAAGTTAAATTTTAAATTATAATTATGTTTAAAATTAAACTATTTATTATGATATGATATAGATATATATATATACATATATATATATACATATATATACATTAACATAAACACCTATTAAAATAAAATTATCTATTCATATGATTTTATAATCATTGTAACTTATTATAAAAAAAAGTTTAGAAATGGATCACAAAATTTTATCTGAATTTTTTAACAGTTTTAGTAATTTATACTCATTTTAAAATTTTTAAAATACAACATATATAAAAAAAAGTCTAAATTTTTATTATATGATTAGTGTTGTTGTGTAATTTATTTTATTAATAAAAAATTAAAAAATGATATAAAGTATACATATTGTTAACAAATCTTTATTATTTAAAATCATTAATAGTCATATATATCTTAATCACATTAGATAATTATGTATGTTTTATTTAAGGAAACAATATTGAGGAGATTTAGTTTAATATGTTATTTAGTTTGATATTTCTTATATGAGACCAACCGACTTTGTTTTAAGACTACATTTTATATGAGGTGCTCTAGAATTCTTCCAAGTACAATTTCATAGAGAGCTACCACATAAGATATGTTTTTTTAATTAGTACAAACTTAAGGTTATAACTTTTTAAATGATCCTTAATTAAATTATAGAGGATTTGGTGTGTGCATTTAAATCAAACGATTATTCTTATTTATTAACAATCATTTTATGGTAAATAAATCAACACAATCAATTTTATCCATCATATATTAGATACAATTAAATTTAAATGACATTGACAATATCTATAATATATTTAAATATGGATGTTTAGTAAATTAATTTTCTCATTATAAGGTTTTATGATTGTCAATATATTTTTATAAAAAAATTTCGAACTATTAAAAATTGAATGCAAATTTTAAAATTAAAATATTACATTCTAAATATTTTTCAATGAAAATATCAAAATATAAGTATATATTTAATATATGGTATTTAATTTAGTTTAAATTATATATATATATATGTATTAATATAAAATTATTAAATAAGACGTCTTACTCATGTATTTTATAATTATTTGTATCTTATTATAATAAAAATTTAAACAATTTATTACAAAAGTTTATTTGAGATATTTAACAATTTAGTAATTTATACCCGTTTTGACAATTCAAAATCCAATATATACGAAAAATATAAATTTTTATTATATAAATAATGTAATTTTCTAAATTATTTTAATAACAAGTATTTAAACAAATATGGTAGAGAGTATAAAAATTGTTAGCAAATCTTTATTACTGAAATTATTAATTTTCATATATCTTTTAATCATATTAGGTAATTCCGTAGCTTTTAATATTAATAAGATATGTGACCAACATCTTTTTATTAAATATATGTTTAAACTGTGGTATATGTAAGGTGTTAGAGAATTGTGTTAAATATAATTTAGAAGCAAAGCGATATGCCACATAGGATTGGAGATATTTTTAATTAATACAAACTTAAGTTTACAATTTTTTAATGATCCCCAAATAATATATAGGGGATTTATCATCTCAGATTATATAATAGAGGTAAAAAAATTAAGCCTAGCCAAAAGTTTTGTTAACATAAAAGGGGTCGTTCTCGTTTCGGGACCACAATGTTAAATAAAAATTCTCGGTATGATCATTAACATCTTATATAATAAAACTAGGATAAAACATGTGCAATATAATTACAATATAAAATTTTAGTATTGACAAACTTAAAATTTACATATGATTATTTTTATATATATTCGAAATTTTAAAATTTTTATATAATTATCTCTACGTAGAATCAGAAACAATTGTAATTATAACTGTAGATCAAAACTTAAAATTTAATGGACTCGATTTCATATATTTTCATTTTCCAGTGTTCGAGTGATGGAAAATAAACGGAATGTCACTGGGCTTGATTGGTAGAGTATTAGTAAGTTCCCTAATGCTTTCTTAAGAAGGAGTTAATATAATACTTGTATTTAGAATATATATGTTTCAAAACTAATTTAATATAATTTATTTATTTGTCTAATAATATTAGAAAATTATATTTTTAAAATTATTATGTTTTAAAAAAAAATATTTTATAAAAAATTAAGTTAAATTAAATTATTTTAAAATATATAATTATTTTTAAAAACAATATTTTCAGTTTTAAAATAGAAATTAACAATTTAAAATTAATTATGGTCATATTTAACATTACCATTATGATTTAAAAATTTTTAAAATAACAAATTAAAAATTAACTCAGTTTTATATCATGATTTAACAATTTGAAAATTAATAATGCTTATAAGAAGTTTACGTTCACGTGTTAATCCTATTTATCTTCAATTTTTTCTCTTGTTGTGTTTATTTATTTATTTTGGTTATTACTCGGTATAAATATTGATTATGAAATTTATTCTAATTTAGTTTGTTTGTTTTGACTTGGAATTTAGAAAATACTTAAGATTTAAAATAATTAAGAGATATATGAAATCGTCTCCTAAACACTACGGCCACTTCCTTTGTAACGTCTTCCATTTTTGTGTTTCATCTCCTTTAGTCTCAGCATTTACTTCAAACTCACTACTCATCCCATTCTTTCTCAATTAAAATATCATAGGTAACCACTTGAAGCTTTAGAGTATAAATGGGTTATGCAAGGTTTGATCAACATCAAGGAGACCAAGAAATTTTGGAATTTGAAGAGTGATAACAGAGAGAAAGATAGTGGCGTCTGTTGAGGCTGGGAGGGGAAGCAATCGTCTCTGGGGTTTCTTTTTACCTCTGTTAACGAGTACAGGAGGAGGAGCATTACTTGAGATCAAAGAGAAGGAAGAATTTTCATTATTGGCGTCAAAAATCTCTGATCCTAGAGGAGTTGTAGGTTTTTGACTCGCTGTTTGTTCTTACTGTTTTCTTGATATGTGTGTGTTCTCTGTTTTAGATTTGGATTATAAAAAATATTACAAATTTTGATTGGGTCTGATCTATGAATTAACAAGTTTGTGTGTTTGGTTACAGAACTGATTAGTTAGTTTGTCTGATGAATTTAGGCGAAGTAAAACCGAGAATGTAGTAAGACAAATCCGAAAGGATCTTGGAGACATTGGGAATCTCGTCAACATTCCAACTGGAGAGGTGATTATCTTTTTCTTATGTATGTATCATCATACATTTGCTTCCAACTCAATTTTTTTTTAAATGTTTTAAAAATGTATCATATCGTTTCAGGATAGTGCGAGGAAGGCAGAGGTTGTTGTTATCATCAGCCCTGAAGAAAATGAGAAATCTTGCAAACCACATGTTACCAAAAGAGAAGTTTCACAGCAACCCCAAGAGCTCCAAGGTATTAATGGGTTTCAAAAGGTTTTACCTTGTGTTTTTTGAACTAATCATCTCTCTTTTATTAAGCTGCAAGTGGTGGACTCAAAGATGTTGTGAATTGTGATTGACGACATCGATGCTCTTGATGCTGGTAACAAACTTGCTGCTGTCTGGTGGTCTTTCAAGAGGAGAATCAAACAAAAGCCCAATGATGACCTGAGACCACTTAATATTCTCGTCAATATCTCTAATCTATACTATTAAAGCTGAAGTACAAAAATAAAGTTTTGGAAACATGAATAAGAAAATTTTAAAAGTTTGATTGGAAACATGGATAGCATACAAATTTAATGAGCTTATTTATTATACTAAAGATTACTGCGGCCCAATGTACCATTATTATTGTTTTTGGATTTTCTATCATTGATATTACTTTATTTCTACAAATTATTTATACATATATGTATTCATGTTTTAAATGTATTTAGAATAAATCAAGAATAATATATATTTTATTTATATAATTTATATTGACTATTCTTATAAGTTTTTAACAGTGATATACTAGCCTTCCAATTCTTCATTAAAANTTTACACCAAATTTAGTCAAAAAAACTTTATAAACTATTACTAAAATGTTTACGGGTCACAACATATTACGACGCCCCTGTTACACAATACAATAATGAAATACAATGTTTAAACAATATACTATTACTTAGTAAAATTGGAACCATTAAATTGTAATT